AAAATCGATGAAAACCCATTTATCATCGAAGTCGCTTTTTTTCGCCTGGAGCAGGAGGGAGGGTTAAATTTGGCGCTGCATTCCTAGGGAAACTCATTAAAACAACATGATGAACCTACACAAATCACCTCTAATGTCGCACCTGCTTCCAGTTTCCATGGGCAACCAACTTGACATTGGCTTTACAGAATGTCAAGTGCACCTCGGTTCATTTTTAAGCAATGTGATGTGTTCACACGCAACTATTATGTTGAGAAAATTAAATCATAACTTAAAAAGCACATAAAGTAGGTTTTTGTTGCACCACAAAACGCAAGAATTTGGTTCATGTTTTGTGGCAGCAAACGATGCCGTTTTAAGTAATTTGACAGTTCAGAAGTGAGAAGATCGATGCTAATTAAAAGCACCTTCCTGAACCCGAAATTTAGCCAACCTTCCTCGTAAAAATTGTTTAAATTACGACTGCTTAACTGCAGGTAGTTGGTTAAATTTACGTCTCTTTCTGTATGACAAGGAAGGACCGACAAGATTGGTCCCTTTCTTGAGCTCACATTCCTTCATTTTTTTTCAATCAAGGGTAAAATAATTTCAAGTGCGAGCAAGGTGGAGACATCCTGGAAGGAGGGTAAGTAGAGCCACACCTTGGAGGAGTTCTCGTCGATACACAAGACGCGGCATTATTCATGGATCGGCAAAGGGCCCAGCTCTTTCACTTCTGTTTTTGATGACCTTCCGCCTTTAGCCTGCATTCATTAGGGCTTTGTAGGGGGTGGCCAGTGTGCCGCCGCGAGGCTGCTTAACAAAACATTATCCGCGCAAACAAGTGTACTCAGACGGAAGGTGTGGCGCCTTATTCAGGAAATCAAAATACGAAAATACAGAAATTAGCGCCGCATTACGCGGTGCGCGCATTGTCCGGCAACAAAAGAACTTGGACAATGGGGTCCCATGCCTTAAACAATTGATGTTTGTCTGAGCAATAAAACGAAAAAGGAGGCACTGCAGTCGACCACGTGCATTTTATCACCTTGTGTGAGCAGACGCGACCGGTAGGCGATTGTATCTGCAAGCCCCACTTAAACAGTCTCGTCTGAATGCGCTTTTCGAGTCGGAAAAATCAATAATCGATGAAAAACCAGCTAACACCCTGAGGCTGAGGTCTGAGATACGGTAGCTCAAATTATCTCTGTACCAGTGTTTTTGCAAACGACAGTTAATCCAGGTATCTAGTAGCGAAAAATGTGAAGTTTAAACTGCAAATTTTTACTTCCCTGAGAAAATTTGTCTCGCCAACTGAGGTTGTTCACGTGGCAGGTAAATTTAAGAAGTTTGATTAGTCCTTAGGGCAGAATAATTTTAGTCAGAACAATTCTGCATATCCAGGAATTCTTAGAATCAATTTTGGACCTTATACGATTGCAGAACAGGACGTTCAAGACGCCTATCCAACATAGCGCGCACTAAAGTCTACAGTGTATTTGTGCTAATTTGCCACTGAATTAACCTTGGCCCGATTACGCTTCCCTGATACCCGCGATGAAGAAAAAGACTGGAGTGGACGTGGACACAACCGTTTATTTCAGTGCTCAACCACGTTGGTGTCGTGGGTGGCATTTACGCGTGTGCATTTATACCTCGGATGTGTGAGTCATACATGCGCTAACATCGAGACCTAGGTGTGAGGCTAATCCGGGAAAAATAATCGTGCAAATAAGGGAGGAGTTGAGGATCCGCGTGGCTGGCGACATGCTGCGAAAAGGGGGACCCGGTGTCGGAGGGTGGTGTGATCGGATTAGCGAGTGTGAATTAACGCGATCTACAACGACTTGATACGTGACTTAGTGAATAGTACTCATCGCACTACCGCTGAAAGGACTCAGCTACACAATTTTGCTGTTTTCGTGTCGGAAAACGTGTTAGTATTCACACGACTGTTATTCACGTCTTGAGCACATTCCACGTAGACGTAGTGCTAGCCAACAGCTCTCCTCCTTAACGAGATAGGTTGATGCGCCTTATCTTCCAGTGGGACTACTGATGTTTTAAGTGATCAGACTGATTGAGATTCAAGAGTTCTAGCCAAGTCGTTGTTGTGCTTCGATTTGCAGCAAGTTGGGGAGAAGATTTCCGCCTACTGCCGGAAAAAGGCTCGTGTCTGAATGTACTAGGCGACAAAGCCAATCAACGCGCTTACTAAAATGCGACATTTTGAGATGAGGACAACTGGGTATGATGTCTGACGGTGTTTCCGTGTCGAGGAAAGCGCAATTAAGATGGCTGATGCGAATACTGTCTTCGGAAGCATTGCTTTGAGCACGCGAGAACTTCAATGATATGTAGGCTGGAGGTTTCCGTTGTGTCGATGGAACTGTTGGAATGTCGAAAAAGATAATTGTCCTGGCGGTTTCCATGCTGTCCTGGAAACCACTTATGTGGAGGTCCTCTTTTACTTCGAGTACGACGAACCATCTATCACAAGGGTTTATGTGGCGATGTCCCGGTGGCACGAGGCTTCGGGGACGAAAGCTCTTTGCACATCTGCTAGTGCCTGCGGATATGGCAGACAGGAATTAGACTAGTTTTACTCCAGTCTTCTATTTCCGGAATCCGAAGAAAGTACAGAATGGCATTCGTCCCCATGACTACCGCCAAATTGAGTCCAAACCAAAAGCCTTCTTTTTAAAGACCCTTCGTATCTTTCAGTGTACGAGGAATACCGCGATCTCATGTCTGTATTCGAGAAATAGGATGTTTTGACCAATCAAATCCAGGCTAGCGTACGTTTATGAATCAAGAGTTGTGTTTCGATGTCAAATTGTGATGTTAATTCTTCAGAAGTTTTTCACAATTTCGGATCGATCAATACTGCTACAAATTTTGCATTCTGCGATTTTTTTCAAAATGTCACCTGCTTGGCGTAATAAATCAAACAGGATCGGTTGGATTCATGTCAATTTGGATCACCAATGAAGGATGTTTTATTTTTAGTAAAAAGGCCTGAGAAAGGCAACTGACAAAAGCTGAAAAAGCTCAGGAAAAAAGTAGGCAAGTGGGATGCATTTTTTGGCGTAAAAACAGTCGGCCTGATTTGTGTGTGGGACAGAGGGAGTATTTTAAGTAGCCCCTGTCGATATAGTTTATCACACAGTCTAGTTAAACTAGGGATAATAATTTGTCTACCGTACGACCGTTATTTCCTGCGCAATACTTGGTTAATCGTCGACATGTTGATCTATTCTTCGAATCAATCGCGTGCCCAAGATCTGATTGGCCACGTCTGAATTCAACGCGCCGGTTGAGCCAATCGATTTTGCAACTCAGTGCCATTTTTATTGATTCACAAACAGGTCCAAGGTAAACTGGGCAGAAAAGGTATACCTAAGTGGAGTTGTGTACATTCACTCAAAATACTGCCGTCTACCACACGCACACACATTTAATCTCCCTGTTTGCGAGGGAGAGTGGGACGATAGTATCTTTACGACCCATATGAGGAAAATCATTGGTGGCCGTTGGAGACTTGAACTGCTTTAACTGCGCTTTTGGCAACCAAATTGTTCAACGACCATCACCACCACCGCTGCCGCCGCCACCGCCACCGCCTCCCTCCATCCATGTGCACATGTAGGCACTAGCAGCCGCGTTGCACAAACCAGCGACAGAAGTCACCTTGACAAAGTGAATGCGGTCAAGTGGAGACACGCGGGTGATCATATTGCCGTGTACACACAAAAACGGCCTTAACTGGCGCCTTAACTGGGGGAGGGGGGGGTTATGGGGGAAGCGCAAATTAATTTACTGTCGTGCGCGCTCAGGCGAAAGGCTTGGCATGACCATTAGGTACAAGCGGTTGGGTTTTTGGGCGTACGCAAATTGACAAGATTAGAGTCGATTAAGTTGCAGCAGGAAAGGATGGGTTGAGGCTAAAGGCAGAGGACAATTTATTGAGTTAAGGAGTAGGTAATTGTTGTTTTACTGGATTCATTCAATGCACCCACGGAACCATGATCTTTTCTTACACCAGGATTCTTCGACTTCTTTTTTATTTCTTCAAATCATGATTTTCGTTTTATTTCAGTACTGGGCAAGAAGAAAAGATGACGATTTTCTGGAGCCATGTCTGGAAAATATGTGTTGTGAAACAAAAAAATTGGGCTGGTGTTGTGTGCTTGCCAAGTGAGTTTATTGCAAAACTTATACTTTAATTACATTTGCGCAAATAACTCGCCGTCCGAAAATGTCTCAGATAACAGTCATGAATTTTAAGTCAAAATTCAGTAAGATTTAAAATTATTTGGGTTTGATTTGGGAGGAAACCTGACCACTCACACTCCACGATACCAACGAATTAAGTAATCGATAAATAGCCATACACAAATATGCGGATTTTTCTCCAAGCAACAATCGATAATCAAATCTGTGAGTGCAATTAACTCGCAACCAATGAAAATTGTCCGTGAGACGCATTGTTATCGATCGCCGAACCGGGCGAACGTGCAGTTGAAAATGCACGACCGTAACCAAGTCCTCTGAGTTAAGCCACACTTAATCTTTTGATGGCATAATTTTATTGTTACTTTTGCTAGAAAAAGTAAGAAAACCTTTTAACTATCCGCGAAGCACTGAAAAAAACCTCGTGGATAATCTGATATTATCATTTCTAAAAAGGCTACGACAGGTGATTTGGCGGTCGGGTGAAAAGTGGCGCTAGCTGAAGAAAACTTCCTTCAGTTTAATTTAACGTTAAGGATTTGCACACAATAGCAGTGAAACAAACGCGAAGCTTTGATTTTCGATCCGTTCATTTGATATTTGTGTTTCGGCTATTCGTATAACTGTGCCGAGACACGAATGGATTGGTTTTTGCGGTTCTGCTCTGTTTTTGGTTTGGTTCCTGATTCGAAAACCCTTGGAGTGCTTTTCATTTACTGTCGGATGTGACATCTAACAACACCCCTTGAGCAGGATCCAGTTAAATTTGGACGTTGATTGGTTGTCAAAAGCTTGGTAGGTGGGCCGAATTGGTCCAATTTGGGGTCACATCAGCCTCTCAGTCGCAGTCCACTCAGTAAACAATTGTCAACTGCCTTCCTACATATCTCCAACCTCGGTTTGAGCTGTGTTTGAGTTTGCAGAGGCAACGCCCCAATTAAATGGCGGTTTTTCCATCTTCCGTCAATCAGCCTTTTACCCGTGCCTTGTGTAAAAATGTAAGCGAAGCGGACTTTCAAGTGTACTGTTTGCCAAGGTGTCTTCAGTGGTGTTAGTTAAAAGTGCCAAATCAAACACTTTAGCTAGTTTTTTCAGCACTTTTCGGATTCAAGACACGAAAGCTGCTGAGGCTTACGAAAAACCATGAGGAAAGTATGTGGTGCTTGTTTGGGGGAAGTCAGTTTCGAAGTTGATGAGCATCAGAAGCTTGCAGTTTGAGAAATTAACTTATAACACCGTATCGACCCATGCAAACTCAGAGCAGCAGTTCATAGTGACGTCAGCCAATAACAATCAACGTCTAGGGGGTAACAAATCCAAGGGAAGTATCACGAGATCGATTTGTTGGTCCTACAGGGTATTGTGTATTTCCATTCGTCGCCATGACACGGAACATCCAAATTACTGCCGCATCCCCGGCATTCGTAGCCCCGAACTTGCGGTATCATCAGTTTCACTCCTACTTCAAGGTGTTTAAGAACCCTCAAATGATATCTCCTCCTCCTCCTCCTCCTCCTCCTTCAGCACTAACATACCTGCCAACCTTTTAAATCCCTTGTCTCAGCCGTTTTGACCTCTGAAATACAAAATTGGTTGGGATTTAATTACAAAAATGAGCAAATTCTAATACTTCAACCCTCAATTTGGAACCAACTTCTGTGAATATTCACGCGACGCGGTTGATGGGAATTCAAGGTAAATCATCTGCGCGGTAAATGAAAATTTATCCCACATCTGAAAAATACGCATTTGATCTCAGGTGAAGATTTTAAGGTGATAAGAAGCACTTCATTTGCAACCAGAAAAATTAGCAGATCTGTTGATCGACCGCTTCATGTCTTACGTCGACAAGTGACACAGACATTGCTTTTACTGAAATTACGTTTTCAGTGAACAAAAATCGATTTCTTCTAGTCAAAACAACCAATGAAATCCCTGAAACCTTCATAATTGCCACAGATGATTGATCCTTACTAAAATTTTGGCCTAATTGCAAAGTTATGCAGAAATGCGTCTATCGTGTGGGGAAGCTCACAGACGTTGAAATTCAGCTCAAATTAAACTTGAGCTCTAGTGTTTACCCAATCGATATTCGATATTTCATTGAGTCACATTTTATAAATTGTGCGTCACTTTAGCAACCAAATCTGCGGTTGCACTTTGCGTGTTTCCACAAGAGGGGACATCTGCCAGTGTATGATATCGCGTAATTGGCAGCCAGATTTAAAAAAATCAATAATCGGGGCTCCGGTCATCAAGGTGATCAGCTGATCGCGGACTGGCTGGCGTGGAAGGCAATCATCAGCATGAGCGAATTAGACCATCTCTTGCAGAATTCTGATGTGGAACCTTTGACAGTTTTTGGACCACGTAACATGGTAAACCAGTTTATAATTCTGCTTTTACCGTGAGGTAGAGTAGTCATAAAGACAGCATTGACCAGGTACAGCACTTGCACGATTCATTCCCGCGGGAATTGCAAATTTGAGATGTCTGATTGGCCGGTAGTTTTTGGTGTAATTAGTGCACTTGAACACACCTCAAGTGTCCTCGTATTTTCCGCGTGACGTATTGGTGGGCTTTTGGGTGTGGCATCTTTTAAACTCTCATTTTACGCTATCGCTTAAAAAGAGCCCCGGATTTCGTTACATACACTTCGCCGCGTGAGTTGTAAGCCCCTTTAGCCCATTAATCTCCGTAAAACTGGGGCTAGCTAAAATAGTGCACTTAATGTGCGGAAACACGTTACGTCAAAATCGCGGAAGTGTAGCGTCAGTCTACAAGTGTAATTTTAACATACTAATTTTAAGAAAAGACTCATGACCTTTAGGGTGGGACAGTGAGACTAAATTCTTATTATCAGAAGTGAAGATAATCAATAAAACGTTCCAAACGTAATCACCCCAAAAATTCACCAGAGTTCTATGAGATTTAAATACATATGACTTCTTTTCGGCACGATTACTGTGTAACACGGAATTCCTTCGCCAACGAAAATTTGGGGAGCAATTCATGGATTTAGATTAGTTTGTATATTTAAAATTTTCTCTCTAGAACCAATTTTCGGATTTTAATTGTGTTGATTGGCTGGAATTCACTTAACTGGATGCGGCAATTAGCCAGGTGCCAACGAAAAACTGAAAAAAGCACACATATTGCCTTCTCTTTATCTGCGATCGGAGACTAGTTCTCTTATCTTGAGCCTGCCAACCACATGGAGCTCTTTCTAAATTACAGGTAAAAAACAAATTAAGAATGGGCTTGCACAAAACCAAATGAATTTGGCCAAACCAAATTTTTTGACTTTCAGGTGATTGAACAGGTCAGTAAGGGTTGCTGACATCTTAGGTCGCAGCAAATGACTCGAGGGACCTTACCTGTTTAACCCTAAGGCGTAGGGAACAATGGCAAGTTTGGAAAGTTCGAGGTCATCTTGAGCCAATCAAAATCGTCCTGATTGGTTATAATGAAGATCTTCAAGTCATGGAGACAGATAGCAGCCATATCGAGAACGGCGAAGCCATAAGCCCTACCAGAAAAGTCATTAGGCGATGGAACAGTCGATCCCGAGGGTACTGGATTAATCGATATTTGCAACAGCCGATAAAAGAGGGAAACAAATATAGATTTTACTAGATCAATCAGACCTCTTGCAGTGGGATACCGCTTACGCATGGATGTAGACCCCGAAGCGTGGTACATACCTTTAGTTTCTCGGTCTTATTTCACCATAAAATGGACAATGAGAGCTTTGGCCTTGTATCAATTATTCTCGATATGCACCAAGGTTGCGCAATTTCATGTCGCAGAAATAAAGTTAGTTTTCCTGACTGTACAAAAGTCTATAAAACCAGTTTATCTCAAAGGGAATTAGACATTTGTCAAAAAAATACTTTTTACACGTTTTCCCTGCTTCTTGTTTGTTTTCGGCAAGCCATTAACAGTTAGGGGACAATCTAGAGTTCCAATCCTTGAACCAAATGGCGGTTCTGGTTGTGGGAAAATTGGGATAAAACTTTGGAAGGGGGATTCGCAGGCACACGAGTAGAAGCGGATGTGCGGCCTGGATCGGGCGCTCTCGTTATACCGGGACATGAGAGAGCGTTTTTGAGTAGTATGGGATCAGGAAGGAAACAGGAAAAAGATCCTACATGGGATGCATTTTGAATTCTGAATTTAACGTTTTTCAGTTATGCAAACTTTCCCGCTTGGCAATTCTGCGTTCTGACAAGTAAAGAAAATGCCCAATCACGCGACGTAATCTTGCGCTCTACTGACGCCGTAGGCAGGCGCTGATTTAAATCTGATTTTGTTTAATTAAATGCTTTGCTGCATCGCTGAAAAAAACTGCATTGTTATCTGAAGTTTCATAGCAATTCAGCGTTGTCATGGTGATTGATTTTCTGTTAGACATGTAAAAGTACATCGTTACCGAAGCATTTAAACGAATCAAGCAATTTTACAGCAATTATTGGTTTAAACGTTTTCGAAGCGGTGATTTCGATCGTAGTGACCAGCCGCGCTCCAGACAGCAGCTTCAAAAGTTTGTGGATACGTGACTGAAGGCTCTACTGAATGAAGACTCAACGCAAACGCATCAAGAGCTTGCAGTACCTCAGTCAGTAGACACCCAAACAAGGTTTAAACTGTGCCTATCACTGCTTGCTCGTCGACAGCAAAAAAGACTTATTGTGGAAAATTGTCTCGGGTACTGAAAAGTGTATTTTTTTGTTACGAGAATCCCAAATGTAAGAAGTCGTAGGTAGATCCCGGGAAACCTAGTACATTTACACTTAAACAGGACATCCACTTGAAGAAGGTCCTCCTCTGTGCCTGGCGGGACATGAAGCGTGTACTTGACTGCAGATAAGGATTGTTGTGGGCCACGCCGGGGCCGCTGAATTAATTCTGGCCCAATTACACTTCCTTGAGACCCGCGGTGAAGAAAAAGACTGGAGAAGACGTGGACGCAACCGCTTACTTCAGTGCTCAACCACGGTGGTGTCGTTGGGTCGTGTGTGGGGTTGGCGCGCGTGTATTTATACCTCATAGATGAGCTAACATCGAGACCTAGGTGTGAGGATAATCCAAGATGAATATTCGTGCCAGTGAGGGGAAGACTGAGGATACCCGCGGCTGGTGACATGCTGCAGAAAAGGGGGACCCTGTGTCGGAGGCTGGTGTGATTGGATTAAGGGGTGTGAATAAACACGATTCACAACAGAATCATCCACATGTGTAGGGACTTGCCATCACTCCTTCAAAGGTTCTACAAACTGGAATTACATGGCTAGTATTCAACGATTTGTACACCGGAACCCACAATTAAATCCTTTCTAGGGCTTTTCTGAAATTTATTAGGGATTGAGAGTCCAGGAGAACGAGGGAAGACCAAACACGGCAAACTCCAGACGTCTATGAATCAAAATGAGGGTGGTCGCTTGTTCGTAACCCGATGATAATCGAACCAGTTGAGACTCGGGACGTTATTTAGTTTCTATAAACGACTAAATGAAATGATCCTGGGTGATGGATAGTCCCCAGAGGGGGAGATGCAACCAGGACAACTTGTAATCCCGAGATACGGTTGTGGTCAATGCATGAATAAAACAAATGATCATTGCCCGAAATCAGGCGCGATCAGGTGGTGTTGAAGAGGTCACCTTTCCCGGAAATCTGAGTGGCGAAACAATCGGGCGTCGTCAGAAGCTGATTTAAGCCATTGCGCGCGTGTGAAATATAATTGTATCCTTATAAAACAGCAATTCTTTCCAGCAGGTAATTTAAAACGCACTAAGTGATGCCTAATCACCAGCGTGAGATATTTCGGTCTAGTTGCTCTGGTGCTAATGTTGAGGCGCAATACCAGCCAAGTAAGAAGTAGGTAGAAAGCAACACAAACCAGGAAAGTTGTGAGATCTGTTTGCACCGGATAGGTGATCTGAGAATGAATGTAGAACCCCGAAAGGTTGCTGCACGTTGGGGTGTGGAACACGGAACAACTGACTTGCCCCAACCAACCTGCCCAGAGAAGGCCAAGCGCGAGGCCTTGACATTGGTCTCGAGCCATTCCGAGGTTAACGGACAACGTGATTTTGACTTAGTCAGGGAAGAGGAAGAAGACCGGAGACTTCAGGGGTTCAACCGTTGATTTTGGCCACTGGAAGATTTTAGTTGTGGTGCTTCCTCTGACGTGAAACTAACACTCGAATCAATGCAGTAATCGGACTGGGGAACGCTCTGCCCTACCTGGTAAGGATTATCTAGGACGATCTTGAACGCGTCTCACGTGAGATCGCTGATCGTCAACATGTGCACGCTGATCCATAGAGGAAATAAGGTTTTTAAATGAAAGACCCCCTTAAAAACGAATCAAGTACCCAGTGTCACTGGTCAGAGTGGTCTTAGTGATGTGATTACTACAAAGAACATTTACGGTCCTGTAAATTTGTCAATAATTTGCTTAAATTTCTACAGTTCTTAAGACAGTTTTGGAGTCAAAAGTAGATTTGATCCTAATTTATTTATAAATTCCAATTAGTGAATAACAATAAGACAAATTTTGGAACCGAATGATTTGGATGGACTATGAGGGGAGTTGGTACAACCGAAGGCAAAATAGACTAATGACAAAATCTCACTAAAAGGTAGGTAGATTAAGTATTTAGAAGTCTTTAGCAGACCGCTTGGCCGAAGTTTTGCAACTTAAACTGACCGTTTTTCACATTTTTTTGAAATAGATCTGCTGAAGACCTAAAATCGACCTAGAATCACACTTGGACCATATGTTACGCTATGTAGAAACACGGTGAGGGTGTGCGTGTGCGTGTGCTTGCGTTATGCTTGCAGGATCATGTGTTTATGTGTGTCGTTAACGCGCATAGAAAAGACTCCAATGGTGGAGGTTGCCAACCAATAGAGTTCACATTTACTCGCGATTCACACCACACTTGAAGCATAAGATGGGTGATGATGATGATGATGATCACACGAGAATGTGATGTGTGTCAAACATTCAATCTGAAGGTGAGTTAACAGGTATCATCACGAAATAAATTAGAACACGACGCCGATTGCCATCCATTGGATATTCGTCCTATTCAGTCTTTATCCCCTCGAGCAACTCCTCAGCTAGACGGCATGATTGAGGGTGTTAGGAATCCTGTCCTTTCCTTCTATCTCTCGAAGAATCCATTTTCGTGACAGAGCGTACGGAGTGTCCTCAGTCTTCGGCTTATAGTTAGACTCCCCAATCGTTCTCTAGCACTTTACTAAATCCAACTACAACTTGCCTTCCGCCATAACCCCACTACCTTCCTCTCAACCCTCAAATTCCGCGTGCCCCTCAATCCAAGCCGCCTACAGCGGTCCAACGCTCGACTCTCCTGCATGAAATTGCCAATTTAAAGCATAGCTACTGCAAACACTTTTGCAAGGCGGACAAACTGATGTCCATGATAAGTTTCCTTCTTTTTCACACCCAACCACAAACACCTTGTAGTTATAGACTCTTAAAAATCGTACATTCTCATCGTAACGGGAGCAGACATATTGTCTTGCATCGCATCCCCACCCATTTTTCCTTGATTCACCTTACCACAAACACTTACTAGGTTAGCGTCATCAATAACATTAAGGCATTGGTCAAGGTTGATGCGTTTTTTTGGTTTTAACATTCTTTTAATGTCTTCTCAGACTGGAGGCGGACGGTGACATTGAGTTGCGACCTCATTCGCATGCACAAGTGTACCTTAGGCCAGGTGGTATTCGCTCCATCAACTCAAACTCAGTTGCAGGCATCTCTCACAGAAACGCACTTCACAAGAGTTTTAATCGCCTAGAGCAATTGGTGCAATAAATGTCTGAGGTTTTCACATTGCCTTACACAACACTCCTCCATAAAGGTCTCGCACTAAAAAGTGTTCCCATATAATTCTGCATCGACATCGACAAGCTCGCAGATGACGTTTAACCCCAGGATATAATTGTTTCTCATCTTCCGACTCGCTTATTACAAGCAAAGAAGGCTTGAGGCGCATTTGAGTTAACCAACCAAAACCAAATGCTATCATAGTCCACAGCACATGGATGACCTCCTTAATGACGAGAAGTGCTTAATTGCAAATTGAGGTGGACATTAAGGAACGGAGGAAGATAGAGTTCGCCCTGCAGTCCAGCCTTTATTAAATCCTACTGGGTCTGTCGTTGTGGTGTTAAGGTTCTATATATTTCATCCAAGCACCCAAGCTATCGAGTCATTTTTTGGAAATGCTCCAGAACCGTGCGTTACTTGATGCGTTCCACCACTACACCTAAGCGCCTCAAGAGCAATGGCTAGACTGCAAATGGCAATAAATCTCTACTTGATTCTTGCAGGTTTTTATTTCGACAGCCAGCAATGACATCTCGGACCAAGTAATTCCGCACTGTCTGATTCCCCACCAATACACAGTTTACCAATCCACAGGCTTTCTTTCTAACATCATGGGGCTTGGGAGTTGATATCAAACATTAATCGATGCAACCAACTTCGAAACAAGGAACTATTAAGCTTACAAGCGGATATTCGCCGTGAGACAAAAATCGAACTGCCAAGACCTTGGCTCTACCCATGAACATCAAGGTCGATTCTGCAATTAGTAGGCATAAAAAGACGACGCTAACCAAGATAATTAGTTTGGCTATACCACCCTTACCTATCCCGTGGCACAAACTCAAAATTTAGCAGATCAGATTAAAAGACATTGAAATGATAAGCGAAACAGTTAGCAACAATGACACAATGCAACTTACATAGTTCTTTTGGCAATATTGGCAAGAAATTTCATCAATCATCCTCGAAGTTGTTTTTAAGAAATTATAATGAATCTAAACCATCAGTCACGGAATAAGCTACAAGAATGAAATAACCACTTTGCGTTGTTGTGACATCTATGGTATTAAGGAAATGAAGTCGACCAGACTAGTCAACCGCAGAGTGGTTTCAGGAGGCGTAATGTAATGTCGACTCGGATATAGCAAAAAAAGTGTTATTCATAAATATACTACTCTTGGACCAATATTATTATTGCGAAACAAGTATTACATGTTTATCATTCTGCCAATCAATCCAAAAACATTACATTTTTTTACAAAAATTACGTTTTATGAACTCTGCGCTTGCGAAGTTGTAGAAAATTAAGTTCAAGGAACTCATCTGCGCTTGCAACGTTTTTCCGGCTTCTTGTGTTCGCTTTAGTGTTCAACGTCCTAATGGATGATGGAGCTAGGAGGCAATTGAATTAATTTTTCACGCTACGTTAATATTAATATTTTGATGAATTGCAAAATAACGCTAAAACCCGACATTTATTACGCATTTAATGTTTGGTACTGTGTTAGTCAACAGTATCCTTTAGCCAACAAAATGAACCTGATCCTATGAAAAGTAATGATGATCATTAACTTCCACTTGATGTAACACTAACGGAATTACCAAATCTTATATTTGCATTATGTAGCTCAGGTTTTGTTACGTTAGCGGTACATTTTTTAGACTAATTAATAATTTTGTTTAAATTGACCAAATCGGATTAGGTGGATTTGGCTTGGCGCTGGGTGCGTGTTATTATACCTTTGTTGAGCCTGTGGTGTGTACGTCCGCTGTCTGCGTCTTTTAAATGGCCATTCCTGATATTGTCAATATGAGCAATGGTGCCTATCATGATGTAAAGCAGGAGGATGATGATGTTCCTCTAGCAGCCCGTTTCGGCACGAAGCGCTCCTACTCGGATTCTAGCGATGAAGATATTCCCCTAGCTCAGAAGTATGTTTTGGCTTTTCGCAAATCTATTGTGTTGGTAGGATTAAAGTAGCTCACAGTCGTAAGCAAAGAGATTCGTCCCCTACCCACCCAGTATGCTGGTTTTTGTTGCTTAACTGTTGTAGAAAAAGCGCCCAAAGTCGGAGCCGACGACCGAATATCCCAAGATAAAACCTGAAAAAAGCCCTCATAAGCCAGAAACAAAAATAAAGTCAACTACAGGAACCCCTAAGAAACGAGTAAAAGACGAGAGCCAGGATAGCGAAACTGTCTGGAAGTGGTGGGAGGAAAAAAACAGTGATGGCAAGTACAAATGGAAGTTTCTTGAACATAATGGTCCATTATTTGCTCCACCCTACGAGCCGCTGCCTGATAATGTCTCACTTATTTACGATGGTCAGCGCATTAAGCTGTCTGAACCGGCCGAGGAAGTAGCTGGATTTTATGCAAAAATGTTGGATCACGAGTACACAACTATGGAAGTGTTTAATGAAAACTTTTTTAAAGATTGGCAAAAAGTAAGCATTGTTTCACACTACTATAACCCTCTTCAGGTAATGACTCTTGAAGAAAAACAAATCATAAAAAAGCTCTCAAAATGTGACTTTACCAACATGGCTGACTACTTCAAAAAGAAATCTGAGGAAAGGAAAAATATGTCAAAAGAAGAGAAGCTTAAAATAAAGGAAGAGAATCAACGGATTATCGACAGATATGGATACTGCACATTAGACGGTCACAAACAAAGGATTGCGAATTTTCGCATCGAACCTCCTGGTTTATTCCGGGGTCGTGGCGCACATCCAAAAATGGGAATGTTAAAAAAACGAATTCTTCCTGAAGATGTCATAATTAACTGTTCTAAGGATTCAAAAGCGCCAAATCCACCCCCAGGACACCGCTGGAAAGAGGTGCGGCATGACAACACCGTCACCTGGTTAGCGTGCTGGGTCCAGAACGTGCAGAATAACTTCAAGTACGTAATGCTCAATGCTTCGTCTCGGCTCAAGGTAGGTTACATCAGCATCTTGCTATAACGCGTCTGTAGGGTGAGAAAGATTGGAAAAAATACGAGGTTGCTCGTCAGCTACATAGCTGTGTGGACAAGATTCGTGCCGATTATCGCGCAGACTTTAAGTCAAAGGAAATGCGCGTCCGTCAGAGGGCTGTGGCTCTCTACTTCATCGACAAGGTGCGTTTTCATGTCACTTTTATATCGAGGGCTTAAAGTTTATAAATCTAAAATCTTATATTTTTGCGCTTTCTGCTTTCGACAACTCGGTTCTGTTGTAAATGCTAGGTGAGGGGCCGAACAACCGTTCTCATCAGATTGCTAAGTAATGAAGGTGCTACAGATTTGGTATTGATAGCATAAGATCTTTAAATGCAGTTGTGGTTCAGTCCTCTTTAACCATATGTCGCGTAGGCAGTACGAAAAAGCCTGATGTTCGACTTTTTGAAGGTAAATTTACAGCCCTGACGTCATTGGTTCTTGTTGCCTATGTGATGCAGTAGTTTCTTGCACAAATTTTCGGTGTTCGTGTGAACACCCTTCCCACGCTGCGGCGTTCTAACAATGGGGTTTTCTTTGTTGTTTGACTAACTAGATTGTTTATTTCATGTTGAATGTACTCGTACGTGAAAATCGCAAAAACAATATACCACGTAAGCCCCATCAAGATTTCGAGTCGCTGTATCCCCTTATTTACTTTCAGACATGCATCCCTGCTCCATAATTCCTTTCCCGGGCAAAAAGTAATCCGAGAATTAAATTACTCGCACATCAGGTTTTTTAAAGGTGTCAATTATCATCGATAACATAGCTAAGTAGCAAAATTGATGTTTCGTTGCAATCCGAGGCTTCTCTATTTCGTGTCTGTTGGCTTTTTGAAATTGTAACAATTTTACATTGTCATGGTTGTGTTAAATTACATTTCCTAATGCCAATCAATAGCCCCATTGAATCCAAGTCTAAACAAATTTCGCTTTTTATAGCTCGCTTTGCGTGCCGGCAACGAGAAAGACGAAGACGAGGCAGATACCGTGGGTTGCTGTTCGTTGCGCTGCGAACACATCAAACTTCACGAAGAACTCGACGGGAAGCCCTTCGTTGTTGAGTTCGACTTCCCCGGTAAAGACTCCATCCGCTACCAGAACTCCGTGTCAGTGCCGAAACGGGTCTTTAAAAATCTCAAAATATTCGTCAAGAACAAACAAGGCAGCGATGACCTCTTTGACCGCCTCAACACGACCACCTTGAATCAGTATCTGCGCGAGCTGATGGATGGTCTTACTGCGAAGGTTTTTCGTACCTACAACGCCAGTCGCACACTCGAGGAACAGCTTGACCTGCTCACAAATCCACAAGATCTACCCGCCGAGAAGGTTCTCGCTTACAATCGCGCCAACCGTGCCGTCGCCATCCTGTGCAACCACCAACGCGCCGTCCCAAAGACATTTTCAACGTCCATGGAGAATCTGCAGAAAAAGGTACTGCCTTGTGCCTTGTGTTTCAGCGCGATATCATGGCTGTTACGCGTTTAACTTGCGTTAGTCAGTCTAGCTGAATACTAACAGGCATTATGAGTAATTCGAATGATTAATTCCTTTCAGCTGTGCTCTCAGTTTGTCCGGTTTTAAACTCGTGGGGAGCAAGTCAACTTAGCGGTTCAAAACTGGCTAGGCTTACGACACGCAATTGCTGTTTCACGTGACCTCAGTAGCGGTGTTAATCACCCCCCTCTTTTTTGTTTCACTCGCGCCGCGTAGATTGACGCGAAGAAAGAACAGATCAGCGATGTGATGCGTGAGGCGAAGCAAATCAAGGCTGACTACGCGCACTCCAAGTCAGCCGCCAAGCGAACTCAATACGAGAAACTCAAGAAGCGCCTCGGCACGCTGAAGGAGCAACTTGTCAAGCTGCAGGTGCAGGCCACTGACAGGGACGAGAACAAAACCATCGCCCTGAGTACGAGCAAACTGAACTACCTCGACCCTCGGATCACGGTTGCTTGGTGAGTTGACGTACACCCTACATGTTCCTTTTTTTTACTCAATCCACTGCCTCCTGTGCGCCTCTGCTGTTTAATCGCCGTGCTGTCATTAAATCTCTCACCAAATACAAGCCCAGCAGTGCTGTGCCTAGGTTTTTAGACAAACTCCAACCTACGCCTATCGCCTTGTTCTGCAACGGTTATTCTGTGTGGAGGAGGCTAGCGTGTTTACTCGTGTTGCTGTGTGCGTTTGTGTGAATGCGTGTTTTTGGAGTTATTAACACGTACGCATCTGTTTTGTTGTGATGCTGGGTAGGGGTGTCCCGAGTGAGTCGGCTCCAATCTGGATTAGCATCGTAGTTACCAAGTTGTTTGTCAGATGATGTTTGATTTGATCATGGTTTCTGGTAACATTGGCCTAATAGCAAAGAAGGTGGTTCGCGTGTGCAAGTTCACGCTTTCTATGTGCGTCAAATTTGTTCGGAGTGTGTTGGTATGTGCGAATTGAAGATTGGCTTAATGGGTCAATTTCTCGAGTAGTTTTGTCGGAGGTGGCAGGTGTTAGTTCGTTAATTTTATGACGTCCCCATGACAACGTGGTCGTTAAATAGTAAAAGCCTATTTCGCTTGTTCTCTAGTTGTTTTTTTTTTCAAAAATAGCTGGACTTTTCGTTTGATTCGTAATTGTGCTGTGGTTAGTACATGGTCCATACCCGGCTTAGCGATCCTGATTCGCGCGACCTTCACGTGTCATGTCCCTGTTCGACGAAAAAAACACGTCTGCATCGGATGATTTGCCGCGATTGTCGCGTGCAGGACACGAGGAAGTGACCTCGTTTTGTGCCTGTCCGGTTAATCGTTGTGTGGCCACCATCTGTGTGACGTGTTTCTGTTCTTCTAGGTGCAAACGGTTCAACATTCCGATTGAGAAAGTCTACAACAGGACGCAGCGCGAGAAGTTCATGTGGGCAATTCAAATGGCAACCGAGGGCTACAAATTCACCGACCTCAACTCGGACAAGGCGACGAATAAGTTGAAACAGGAAGAGGCCGACGACGATGTTGGTGATGACGAAGACGACGATTATTGAAGCATGATTCGTGCACTACTGCCTCTTGTAAATAGCCTTTTCAAATCCCCCATGCTGTGACTGACTACTCCCACAACGGCTATCCTCCTCCTTCCTTTTTTTCTGCACAATGACCCGATTGCTTTGCTGTGTGTAAGAGGGTTCTCGGCCAGCCTGTGTTACTTTGTGTCACGTTCACAGTGAATTTCAATTGCGTGGTCATTTCGCCCTTTACTTGACCACACACACACACGCACACTGGATGGTCGCGAGGATGATGGATAGTGCTGGTTGCGTGTGTGACAGCTTGTGAAATCGAAACATCGTGTTCTAGCGGCTCATTTATTCTCTTTCATTTCAATTTGAATTTCTCTTGTCCGCCCCGACCCCGCCCCGCCCCTCCCCCGCCCAATCTAGGTGACTGCTCTCTGTATGTTTGCACAAAAATGTACTCGTATGCTCGTTTGTGCCTGCAAGGTGCGAAAAAAATTCACATGCATGTCCAGTTGATGTGGGTTCTTGGGAGTGAATTTGGGTTGGTTGCGCTGTGAGGGGGCCCTTTTTGGACCTAGTACATTTGATGATTCATGCGGTCTGATACCGTGGTTGAACGCTAGCATTGTCGATATTGTAGATGTCTAACGATGTGGAAAATCTGCCCCAGTCTAACCCTAACAACGGGTAATTCTCGCAACACAGCTAGTCCTTCCGCAGGTTTGCATGCAGCCTCGCGTTGTCCGACTCCATGCCAACGTTTATGCCACATCTCAATTCTGATTGGCGAGACTGCAACCAGCGTATGCCTCGTAATTCCTGCTGATTTAACTCTGTATTGTGGCTGGTTTGGCGATGGAACATACCTGTTAGGCTGTCCGCCTCTTGCCTAAGAACTCGGCTAGTGTGACGCACCATAGGGTAAAAATTTGCTCACTCAACCGACTAATTCGTCAATCTCGATCTACCTGGCCTTGTTTAAGGACTGTGACCTTTCTGAGGTCAGTGGTCAGCTGTAGCGGTGTTGGGTGGGTCACGTGACACGGCTGAAAGCTTCTCACTGATCGACCAGTCTTCGCTTCCAGCTTCGTTGAGTAATTTTACTGGCTGTGAGAAGCGTTACAAATGCCATCTAACCAAGCCGGCAGTGTTGAGCGTCCGAAGATTTCAGGGAACTGGGTTTGCCGTGTGGTTCGATTCTGCGGTCATTTTTTTGTCGAAATTCATCACACTAACACGAGACAATACCTCAATTTTGCAATGTAATCACAGATCAATGAGCAGGTTTTTCTAAAGAATACTTAAGACGCTCTACCCAGCAGTTGGCTTGATGTTACTTAGATCAACAAAAGCCATGACCTCCTAGATAAGTACGCGTTTGTGAAAGATGAGTTCCTAGCCCCCCAGAACTGATCTTCCGCAAGTGCCATCGAGCAATTCCTCCTGTGTTCACTTGTCGCGATTGGATGGTTGATCCAATAGCCATTCAAATGAGATGACGTCTGTGGCTTTTGAAATACCCTTGAATCGTGGTAATTCGCTAGCATTTAAGTCGAAAATGAGACAAGCTAGGAGAAATCAAGTCAACACGGTAGTATATTGAGGTAATTTCTCACACATAAACTGGGAATTAGACTGAAATTAGCAGGCATTCAGTGAGAATCGGTTGACATTAGAGGTGTCGCCTATTGCGTAAAGGCGTGAACAAATGTCGTCAAGCTTTTCAGTCCAGGAAGGTGTTAAAGTAACACCTTTATTTGGTCAGAAGTCGTCATTTAGTCCAATTCTTAACTAGTCCGACTTGTCGACATCACAGTTCCTACATTTGGTGATACCAAACAGGTCCCAAGTTTGGCCATCTGGATCCATGAGAAGGCAAGAACCTTCCAATACCAGTAAAATCATTTAATGTTTTGTTTCAGTTTGTGCAGCAGTTTCAACTAATTCTCACAAACTACTGGCTCAGTTGCTTGGGGAGAAGCATTCAATTAAATCCGCAGTTGGTGGGTATTCTAGGGGGCACGAATCCCTCGAAGACACGAACAGTTGAAAATAGGAAAATTTGCGGATTTGCACACTCTGTAGCACAGCTTACCCTTGTCATTTGGACACCGCGTACTCCTGCGATTAACCGCAGTACCAATAGACTAGGCACTAGTTACTCGAAATCGATAACTGGTGTCGGGGTGACCACAATCGTGGCATTTTTGCGCACAATGATGCAATGCACTTTACCGTAGTGAGTTTACAAATAGAGCATAATCAGTGTTCAGCAAATAAGACCTCTGCTCTCTCTGAGTCCTGACCAAAAACCCCACTAATTTGGCAGTCATTTTGCAGCCTACGTATCACCTCCATGGATTATTAGTACGGTCTGCTGTCACTAAAATTAGGTGTGAATTCACTGTCTTCAAATATGATCTTTGTAAAAGGGAGTTGATTATACGTTGTGGAGTTAACACAAACGTCAGCACCTAGAAATTTGTTGTTATATTTCACCAGAGGTGAAAAAGGCTTCACGAGACGGACCAGTTGTGAGTCTAGGTAATTACGCCGTGGGAATTATTTGCATAATTTTGCCTCAATTGCGTGAAGTGATAAACGAGGTGGTAAACAGGGTTTTAGTGCCGGCCTTGGTGAAACTAATTTTTGAGCTCTGGGAATTACAGACTTGCCGGATGAATTTGTCTTAATACCAGCGTTATTTGTCCGGCTGCTTCACTATGGCGTTCCATTTTTAAGTTTTAATTTGGACGGTGAATGTGATTATTGATTATTGGTTTTTCCGTTGTTCCGTGAAGCACTTGGGCTCCAAAAAACCATCTCCACGCGCATCGTTTTAGGTTACCTTTAACAAGTCCGAACGATAACCATTTTGAAAGGAAATTGAGATTTAATTGCATGTCCTATTGGTTTATTAACCTGCCCATGTCTTAAACTAATCGAATGAGAAAGAATGATAACTCCACAGGTGAAGGTATCAAGAGCATAATTTGCATATGTTTGTACTAATTTTTGCTTATCCATAAGTTGGACGAGGCACCTGCAATTATAACGCGGTAATGAAAAGATAATCCATTACCCTAACAAGGACCTGTTAGCCTTCTTTGAAAATGTAAAATCAATAAGGCAATTTCCAGTGAGAAAGTAATACGAATTGTTAAGGTTTGTGCAGCAATAATTGGAAATTCTATCGATTAATTCCGAAGTTATGCTAAGTTGCAATTATCGAGATTAGACATCAATTCTAACACCTCATTACACCGCGTAAATACTGCCAACCAGTGTTCCTACGTTTGAGTATAGGTGTGAACATCTATGTTTGTAAAGACACCCCTGTGTAATTACGATAATTACGGTGCCAGATTTCGTGCGAACATTACTAAAACAACACGTTCGGTTGGCGTTTAATACGGCGTGTGAGTTGCGTTCAAATTATCACCTTTCTGTCAAATTAAGGTCAAAAGTGTCGGTGGAGAACATTTTCTCACCACATCTAGATAAGAAGCGAGGACTGTTGGGATGCAGTCCTAGTAGACAAAGAACAAAAATGGCCCACAACTATTCACTAGATAGCTGGACGCAGATGTGCTGCTGTTGTGTGACGCAAGCCACTGCAGTTTGAGTGAGGTTGTTAAAAATACAGATGCGTCGGAGTATTCGATGACAAAGTTGATGAACTTGAGTTAACGAAATAAATACTTTTTCCTGGAAGCACATAACACAACCAATCAAAATGGAGGAACAGTACTGGAGAGGAAAATGCCAGCTCAGGTCAAAACCTCTGCTATTACACACATTTTTTTCCACAATAGAACCAGCAAACATAGAAGACAACGACGGGAAATTGACTCCTTAAATTTGGCAGCTGGGAAAAATTCACACAAGAAGGCAATTTTCCATCGAATGGTCGGGAATATTAGGTTTCTACGGATGGATAACGAATTTTCGAAAGCTTAAATACTTCTGTTGCTGTAGTTTTTAGAAGTTACACGAATATAAGGCGCTTTTTCCAGTGGAATATTGTCTGTTAACATTTTATCGCAAATAGTCAAAATACGGTGAAATATTTGACCTTAGGTGCTTCATTGGTGAAGATTATTTGCAGACATTCTGTTTGATGATAAGAGTGTATGACAGCATGACCTTGACCTCGACCGAGCAAAACCGAAGATTATTTGCCGTGGTGAAACTAATTCATTAAATTTCCAACGCATGCTTGAAACTCGAGTATTTGCCATGTCAAAACTTTATCTGACGAAAGCACGAACAAATTATATGCATTACCAGAAAAGTGTACAGATTGTCTAATTTATTTTTGAAAATCACTATGCCAAACTTTGCGATAATGTGTGGGGATCATACGCAAATGATATTATTAAACGGTTTGGTTGAAAGGAGGTGTTCATATAGCTTTCATGGTCATTGCATTTTATAGGGCATTTGTAACAGTGAAATCAAGGGGTGCATTAACAAAACGCACCGATAACTAAATTACGTGGAAGAACTAGAATGGTTAGTCATGAAATGTAACCAGTAACGTAATTGCATGATTTGGTTATATTATTAACTTTGGGGTAATGAAGCTGTCTGGGTCAGTAAGCAATTAAAATTTGCTCCAATGTAGTAATTATTTTTTTAAAAACAAGTAATTTAAATCTTTCGAAGCCAAAATTTCCTTGGACACAGAATTCTTTTGTTTAGATCATTGGGCATTCTCTGTAAGGTATCCCATTACCGCAGGGTTACTAGAAAGCTTGTAATTACCATTTTTTGAGGTAAAGGCAAAACCTTTTAGTTTGTTTATTGGTAATTAAATAGTGTTTCTTTTAAAATCCGAGTCAATATTGGGGTCTACAGTTTAAATTATAAATTGTAAATATTCCCAATAGCTAAAATGCTATTGAGATTCTAAATATTCAGTCTTTCCTGAGGGCACAAAATAATATTTATATTTCCTTGACATTTAAACCAAATTTTTAAAGTTTTCAGGAATGTTCCCTATAGTGTAAAGGCAAAACAAACTTTGATGATTGTTATTGATGAGCATTCATACTCCTATTTCGTCCCTTGTCATGGCACTATCAAATATTGTGGACGAAGTCCTCTTACTTAGAAATTGATCTGGCATGTTGTATTACTTCACAGATTATTTTTAATGCATTTTTCTAAAACCTATGTTGATCACCTTCTCCTAATAATTTGCACAACTCAGAATGAGTAAATTTAACACTGAAATTTCATTTCACCTCTCCAACTAGCGCTGCAACAATTCCAATTAACAATTTCTGGATTTATCAGTGACCGCTAATCAACCCTACAATACAAATCTACCATTTTGTGCTCAAATTTATTGCCATAGCATCAGCTTTCAGTTCTCATAGTCGTTAGTGGCCATACACCTGTGTCGCATTTAAGGCGACTAGATAGTTTTTATAGTGCTAATAAATATATAATTAAGTAACATGCTTTAGTTTTAAAAAATTGCATTTTGTTATATTTGTTAATGACTATAGTGTAGCTTTCCGTATTCAACACCTTGGTTGCATTTTGTTTAAATACATGGATCATAATTTACAACTGAAGCGCACACTTTGGTCGCAATTGAGGATCACAGCTGTTATGCGGCCTTGCCTTTATGCTCACCTTGGCCTCTTTTCTTCATTACTTTTTGATCCACCATTTTTCAGAACCAACACTTCATATTTGTGTTTGCCTTTATCTTGCCGATGTGAGAACTGCGTTTGTCTTGGTTTTATATAGGAACTTGCCTTTGCCGATTTTCTGGAAAGGAAGATTTTTTTAACATTGCTATTAAAATTCCTTTGATCAATCTAGTTTTATTAGAATAATGACATCTTTCATCCTGTTCCTCGCTTCAGCTTACTTGCTGTAAACACTTTTTTAGTTATTGATTTTTAGCCTAATTAATTATCTGCTATAAATATTATAGGTGACAAACAGTGTCAAGTCGATTGTGCCCAATTTGTCAGAGGAGGAGTTAAAGGACTTGATTTTGAATTTCAATGATTTTGCTGTTCTCAATGGTATCTTGAAGCGCTCTCCAGATGGTGCCACTGTAACACTCCAGCACACACTTTTACCTTCGCCGTACCCACGATTTCAATTTGAAGAAGCTGTTCAGCTACAACGATCTTTCAATCTTTTATTCCATCATGTTTCCATGGACTACGACTTTTTGGAATCTACATTTAAGCCGTGAGTCTGATTCCGTTAACAGTATGTTGCTATTATTGTGCTTTACGTGGCCATCTTGTGAAGGCTGTTGTTCCGGCATATTAACGCCATTTTATTCATATTATTTGTTTCGTATTTGCTGCCGTGGATTAGTGAATTGGTTCCTCGAAATTACCATTAATCCATTTAGGTTATATTTTTACGTCTCTTATCCTTATCTATTACAGAGTCTTATCGCAAGATGATTATGTTTGTCGATTGTGGAACATTCATAAATTGGATCACGACCTGGGAAGTGTACAGCCTCTTAAATTGGCCCTTAGCCGTTCCGACTACATGCTGCATTCTGGCCTGCCTGGGTGCCCACTAAAGCAGGTGGAAATGAATTTCATTGCTGCCAGCTTCGGTGGCATAACCGAACGACTGACTCGAGTGCATCAGCGCAGATTGAATCAGTTGTGGTGTGCAAATGTTCCACAGGTTAGCGAGCTACCGACCTTCTGATCCCCTTTTGCCCCTATAAATTCTCACTTTCTAACTGTATAGCTACCACAATGTGTTCACTCTCCTTTGCACCTAGTGATTCTATTGAGTTCTCTCAACCTTGCTGTAAATCGGCTTTCACTCACTTAATCCGATTGCTCATGTCCTCAGTCTGGCCGTTGAAAGATAGTGGTAATCCACGGCCGCAAGGCTCATACCTTCATGGATTAAACTCTAAGGTCCAGTTTAGTTGTGTCTAAGCTAGCCTACCTTGATTATCGTGATGCATTTCTAGCACAAACTGTTGATAATCCATATTAACAGACGTTGGCTTTCCTAAAATCCACTGCACCCATTCAACCCAGCTGCCACCCTGTCCCTCGTCCACGGGCTTCGGTTCTTCGATCGCTCGGACAGTCGAGGAGTACGTGAAGTCAAGTCCTCACTTTCGACGCACCGCCTTTCCCGCCGTGCTTGTTGTCATTTCTGACCGCGAGACTAACATCTTCGACCAGCGCAGCATCGAGGAGTCCGTCTCGCTACACAATCCTGCCATTAAAATTCTCCGCCGTACATTCGCCCAGCTCTCCGAATCCACCGGAAGCGTGAGCATCGAGGCGGGTAGCGGGCGGCTGTTTGTGTGAGTTATCTAATCCACATCGCAGTTACCCTGTGTGCCCACTTAATCAGCGGTTGAGTGAGCTTTGAAGTCACCTCTAGTGCCTCCCTTTGATGTTTCTCGAACTTTCTATCAAACCACTTTGTTAGCGAGACATCCTCGTTTTGTTGCAGCGATGGCTTTGAAATCGCTCTCATCTACTACCGGACTGGCTACGCACCGGATCACTTCAGTGAAGAGGTGAGTTCTATTTCCACAGTCTTCGGTGCTGCCTGTCCTGACTGCTGTTCGCTCCTTCTGTGCATTCTATTAAGACATGGAAATACCACAGTGGTACTACAAGACTACAAAGAAAGCTATTTCATTGACCTTAGTGATTTCAATTACCGCGCATCTATTCAACAAATCTTTAAAGAATGGTTGGCTACTCCTTTTCTGGACACTCTATCTCCCCCTACTGGGTTATGTAAACAATGGAGCGCAATGCTTATTGCTAAACTTGACGTCAAGATTGTGCGTGTGTTGTGCATTAGTAGAGGTTAATTTAAACCACAGGCCACCTGGCGCCGCAAATTTAGGTGTGTTCGTCGATTTGTGCGTAGAGGTATCTTGAAACAAGCTCTCTTTCTCATTTGCGATTCTATGACTATGCTGTTGGCCTCATTGCATGCTTAAATGTCCACAATTTCCTAGTGCACGACAACCGCTTAGAGTTAATTATGACGTCTCCAAACACGCCAGAATGCTGAAAGACGATCTGCCAATAACCCTTCTTGGATGTTTCGTCTTTATCGTGGTCGTGCTTCTTGTTGTTTGCAGTTTTTTTTCCATCCTACTGGTGTCCCGATCGAGGACGGTGTCAATTGTATCCGTTTTGAATGAGCCCGCCCCATGAAGAACGTCTGTTGGTTTATTTTAACGGTGCTAGATATCACGCAGGTAAAGAGCTAACTCAAACACTTGTTCTAGTCGATGCTTTGCATAGGCGACAATGCCACAGCTGGCGGCTCTAAACAACCAATCGCTTGACAATTCTTACCTATTTTTTGTCAATCACGCAACTGGTATTTATTGTTTGGGCGTTTAAGCTTGTCTTCCGGGAAATGTGCATGAAAACGGGTTCTGCTGTTTCAGGATTGGTGCACGAAACTTCGGCTGGAGCGAAGCTTTGCGGTCAAATGCCCATCGATCGACTACCTCCTAGCAAACATGAAACTCGTCCAAACTGCCCTGGCCAACCCCGAGGTCCTGGCGCGTTTTGAACAGGATCTCACAAGGGCGAGCCGTCTGTCAGCCACCTTCGCACGACAAACCGTACTTTCCACTGACTTCCACTTCTCCGATGCAGCGGCTATCGTCGAGCTGGTCGCGGAGTGCAAGCACGACCCCTCGAAATTCGTCCTCAAACCTCAACGAGAGGGAGGCGGAAATAACATCTTTGGTGGTGAGTTTACTAGTAGTAGTAGTAGTATTAGTAGTATATCGCGAAGTATTTGCAAAAAAGTAGTCAGGTAGAAGCTGGGGTTCTGCAAGTTCTATGCTTACGACCTGATCGCCTTTTCACGATTCGCGTCTAATAGCATTAAACGGTCCGTGCCTTGTGTAGATGATATCGTCGAGAAGTTGGACAAGATCATGGGCAAGCCCGAGGCGAACGCCTACATCCTGATGGAAAAGCTGGAGCCACCGATTGTGGAGAACTGTGTGGTTGGGTTGGAGTATCCACCACCGCTGCGGCGCGAGATGATTTCTGAGTTGGGTGTCTACGGTGTCCTCTTGAGGTAAGCCCGCAGCTACCCTAGCCTTTTGCTACCACGCTCCTGACGAGTGAGATAATGACCATGATGGCTAGCCTTCTCTCGTTGCCTTATAGTAAGTATAGGACTTAATTTCAAAAAGGTTTTCAGCAAATGTTTTGTACATAAAATATTAGAGAACTACGGACGCAACCATGGAAGTAGTGTCCATCGTTTTCCATCATAACTTGCCTGCCTCCTTGTCCAGTAAATGGCTTTTCTGATCAAGCTCTTCTCACAGTGCGTTCAGTTGTCGTCCGTAGCATTCCACAGCCGCCGTCTGACGACCAGTTTCCAGGAGTTCGTAATAATGTGCACCCCTCTTGCCCCACGAGTACACAGACGAAATTTCGTCAAGTGGATGCCCTGTTTCGGCGTCGATGTACTTGGTTGTCCGGAATCTACCCACAATTCTACATTTTACGTTTGGGATCCTCGTAAAATCTGCATACTTTTCATCACCCGTCACAATTTTCCACAAGAAATCCATTCACTGCTTGTTGCCGACGGGCAAGCAGTGAAAGACACGTGTCCACACTTTAACCTAGGGGGTTGTGTTCCGGCCAATACATGCGGGGGATCCAACTTCCAAGTTTTTTGAATTTGTCCAATTCGGTAATGCAAACGCTTGGAAATGGCCGTTTGGGTGAATCCTACTGAGCTGCTGCAAGCTCTTGTGGCGTTTGCGTTGAGTCTGCATCCAGTAGAGCTTGCCATTCCGCATC